AGCAGGGGGCAGGAGGGGCTGGGTGGAGAAGGCCCTGGAAGGGGAGACCAGTGTGGGGTGGTGCCATCAGGGTGCTGTGTTGTTTGGGGCTGAGCTTCTCAGAACTGGGATTTGCTCTTGTCACTGGACAAGGGGCCTGGCCAAGAGTGGGTCTGCCCTCAGCCCACTGGGGTGTGTAGGTTCCTGACATTGTGGGGGAAAGATTTCAGAACCGGGGTCCAGGTGGCTATGAGGGTCCCTTTATTAAAGCCGAGGACAGTGACACAAGGAGGGGATAGTTTAGAAGCAAGAGGAGAGCCAAGGCTGGGCTGCCTTAGCTCACTGAGAAGCGAGAGAGGATGAAGCTTTGGGGACATGTTCAGGGGACCAGCCTGGGTGTCTGGGGACAAGCCCCTGGAGCAGGGGTGTAATGTGTCCGGGATCCCCCAGTCTGTCAGGGGCAGGTCTTCCTTCCAGAAGCAGGAGGCAGGACGGGCTGGGACCAGGAGGCCCTGGCTGTGGGCTCTGGGGTTGCCCCTCAGAGGGGTCAGCAGGGAGGTGGTGTCCAGCTGCTTGTGTGGGGTGATGCCATTGGGGTGATGTGTTTGTTTGGTGGTGAGTTTCCCAGAATTGGGCACTTGCTTTCCCTTTTGCTTTCTGAAACCTCTGGGGCCAGAAGAGGTGTTTCCTTTTTGCTCAGACTCATTGGTGAGCGGATCTGCACAGCTAAGAGCAACTGGATCCTGTTCCAGCTCAGCCAGAGGAGGGTCCTTGGTAAGCTGGGGAGGGTAGGAGCCCCCCACCCACCTTCCATCCTCACAACGACTCCCTGAGGCAGGGACTGTGTCGCTATTCTGCAGAGGAGGGAAACTGAAGCTCAGAGTCTGGGTTTGTCCCCAGCTGTGTCTGAGGGCTTCCTCCCTCCCCTGGGGCCCAAAACGCTGGAGAGGAGGGGAAATGGCTGGGGTGGGTTCACAAAACTCCCCCCAGCTGAGCTCGGGTCCTGGGCTCCCTGAGTCATGAGCAGGGACCCCAGGTAGAAGGTGGCTCTTGGGGTGACTGGGAGAAAGTGAGGGTGGAGCTGGAGGCTCACTTCCCTGAGGGTGGAGCTGGAGGCAAAGCTCAGTGAGAGACGATTTGTTTGGGACTGAGGGACCCAGGGAAGTGAAGCAGAGAGGGAGGGAAAGTTGATATAAGACATGGCCTTACTTTGGTCGCCTGTGTGGGTGACTGAGTCTGGAGACCTTCCCTGAACCTTCATGGAGTGGCCTCACATGCACCCTCTGCAGGGAGAAATGAGGGCAGCATCTGACCTCTGCCCCCATCGCCCTGGGACTTGGTCCCGTGGGCACTGAGTCTGCATTTCCACGTGTGGAGCACGTGAGCACCACACAGGCTTCCAGGACTGGGGTCCGACGGAGGAAGCAAGAGACACGGGACAAGCACAATGACCCCCGACAATTCGTAAGCCACTCACGGAGGGCAATCAGTGACATAAACGTCCTTCTGGATGTACCGCCCCATGGGAGTCTTTTCTCATCCCTCTGACTCCCTGTGAGCCAACGCTGCCCTGAGGCCCTCAGTGGATCTTTCCATTTGTTCCTGAAGTCAGGAGTCCTGGCTGCCCACTGGCCAGGCCCCGAACAAGGGGTTTCCCTCCTCTGCCATTCTTCATCAGTTCTTGGTCCGCTCACGTGTTTGCATAGATGCACCTGGGCGTTCACTGGAGTGTTTCAGGCACTGGGTAAGCGTGCCACTCAGCAGCCCCTCAGCCCTGCCCCCCTGAGCCCTCACAGTGGAAGTTCACTTGGCTAAATGTGCATTTGAGGCAGCCCCACTGCAGTCTTTGTGCCAGTTGGGATCCCTTTGGTTATAAGCCCCAGAGACTGAGTCTGGCTAACAAACACAAAGGAGAGTGTCCATGGGAAGGGAGCTAGGGCAGCTCAGAGAATGCGGAGGAACCCAGGACCTACAAATTAGGAGGGACAGGACTGGGCAGGTCCAACGTCATGAGCTTGTGTCAGCGCCCTGAGACAAGTGTCTTAGGTCCAAACACCTAGACCCTAGTGTCTCTGAGTCAGGTTTCAAGTTGTCAGCAGAGAGAATAGCTTGGGTCAGGTGACAGGATCCTTGGACCAATCAGTCAGGCCAAGGGGTCAGGAAGAAGAATGGGGAACAGGGACAGAAACCCTGGGGCGAAGGCTCAGGTCAAGGGGGCCCCCGTGACTTTGAGGTGTGGCCCCTCGTCCTCGGAGTAGGAGCTGCGGTGGGAGCAGGACCTCCAAAAGCTCAGCCTGAGCACCAGGCTTCAGCAGGTGGAAGAGGAGAAGAAGTCCCTGAAGGAGCAGCTGGAACAGGAGGAGGAGGCCAAGCACAACCTGGAGAAGCAGGTTGCCACCCTGCTGGCCCAGGTTCGGGTGCTAGTTGCCCCAGAAGACCCCTGGGCAGCTGGGTGGCTCAGGGACACTGGTCAGATTCTCCAAGGTGTGACAGAACATCCTTATTTTCCCCACTGTCCAGCTGACACCTAGCATTTTCTTCCTGATGAATGTAGATAAACCACAGCAGTCCCAGTGCCTGTGGTCCTGGTCACTAGAAACCACCAGTGACCTTGTCCCAGACCAGGCAGGACTTTGGGGGAGTCACTGAACTCCTTGTACTTCAGGAGGCTGCTCTCTGTGGTGCTCACGGAGAGGCATGTGGGTCACTCACTCACCAGTGCAGTGTAACCTCTGACAGCCGCCTTTGTCCACTTTGACTTTCCTGATCATCCTATGTATGTTGTGTAACAACATGGGGTGATGAGGAGTCGTAGTCTGCTCTGTGCTGTCACAGGATCCACAGCAAAAGTGGACCAAGTACTCCGTTTTCGGTTCTGTGTCGGGATTTAAGTGCCCCAGGCCAGATGTGCCCTACATGCAGGACAGGCTCACGGTCCACCCCATGATCTGGGAGGAGCAGCCAGCACGTGCGTGTGGTGGCGGTTTTCTGTCCACATGGGAGGAGGAGGCAGCAAAACAGCTGCCCGGGTCCTCCTGACCCTAGCAGAAAAATACCCTGGAGGGCACCGGCCCTGCTGCCTGTGGTGAGGTGAACGGAGGGCGCTCCTAGCTGGGCCTCTAGTCTGGGTGAACGAGATGCCTAGAGCCCGCCACAGTGGAGAGGCCCTCCAGACCTGACCTGCACTCGGCTCCACGGACTGTGAAGATGCCCTCGGCACAAAGTGGGTCCCTCTTGCTGGGTGGGAGGGAAGCCTCCTCACCTGGGTTTGCTCTCTGGTCTCTGTTCACCAGGAGCAGGCCAGCTCCCAGCTGCCAAGGTCTCAGCTGTGTTCCCTGAGCAGGTGCCATGGTGGGTGTCTCCTTATTCCTTGTTCCTGGCCAGGTGAGCAGCATGGGAAGCCTGGAGACTGCTGAGAAGTGAAGCGGATACTGTAGAAGGACCTGGAGGGGCTGAGCCAGCTCTACGAGAAGAAGGTGGCCGCCTGAGACAAGCTGAAGAGGAGGACGTGGCCACAGCAGTAGCTGGTCGGCCTGCTTGTGACTAGGACCACCAGCGGCAGAGCGTCTACAAGCAGAAGGAGCAGCAGAAGGTTGACCAGCTGTGCACCTGCACTGGGCCTGGCGCACCCTCAGCCCTTCCTGCATTGCTGTGGTCCAGCTGCAGCTGGGTCCAGGGGTTCCTGAAAGGTGGGTAAGGCGTCGGTGATGGGAGACAGATGACAACACAACTCAGAGGATGGTGAAGCTCTGTTCCATTTATTGCAAGCACAAGCAGGTTTTTATATTTTCATTTTTGATAGTGATTAACATTTGTGGTTAGGCAAAGCAGGAAATTTTCTCCCTGGATATTAGGTCACATTAATCTAGTAACCTTTTAAACCAGACAATTTAGAAATAGCTGTATGTACAGAGTTTCAATGTCTTATTGTTTATTAAAGTTCTCAAAATAAGGGTACGCTAGACTGAGTAGAAGTTATAGGAAATGTATTATAAGGCCTTTGTGATATCTAACTTAGCTATCTTTTCTGTTGAAAATGTTTTTCTATATACTATGGACTCTGACTCCCTGGTAATTGTTTCTACATGCTTAATTTATAATAGCTAACCAGCTTTTCTTATTTCTTTGCCTGTCTAATTCTATTTGATATATACTTCTATTCAAGGTAAAGGCGGGGCTGTTACTCCAACAACTTTTAGACACTCAGGGGCTATTTCATTAGAGGGGATTTTGTTTTCTGGTCAAGAAATTATTTTATACAACTTCATTGGAATTATGCAAATCAATAAACCTGAAATACAGGTGTCTAACAACCCCACCACCTTTTGACCACCAAAACAAACATGTAAGGAGAGATAAACAGGAAATCCAGCCGCAGTAAGTTCTTTTATGGGAACAGCCGGGGAAAATTTCTTACTCAGGTTTATAAACACCTTGTTTAAACAATTTGGGCAGGATTCAATAGTCTGGGGAGAGCTAGTTGTCCCTTCAGAATTTCCTTCAAAGTTAATTGTTGACTCACTTTGAGCCTCTTTCCCCTCATGGCCTGTTCTTATGGGAATCAGGGTACAAAGTAAGACCATGATTAATATCAACAAGGAAATTATTAAGAGCAATTCCCAGGAAAATTACCACCCCCCTTTGTATACCACGTTCTCTTCCAGGAAGATGGATTCCTAGAATTCCCTCTTTCCACGACTGGACCTTGTGAGACAACATGGTTGGAAGAGGACATGGCAGTGCTTGGTATTGCTCTGCTCCAGAGCCAGCAGGAAACCAGGTGCGCTTCCTGTTTGCAGACCTTCCTGTGCCCCCTTGACACTGAGCTTCCTGTAAAAGCCTTTTGTTTGGAGAGGAAAGATCTGTCACCCTAAAGAAGTGAACCAGGAGGGAAATCTGCCCACTCTCACGATTCTCTCTGTGCACCCAGACAGCACTGACTACCAGGGATGGTCTCCTTGGACAGGTCACCATGGCTAGGGGACAGTGTCCCTGTCCAGGGACAGGTCTGGAGAGAGATCTTATCAAAAGTGGTCAGGGCAGACACCTCCATAGGGGCCAAGCCATGAGCTCAGGCCCCTCCTCCAGGTGCCATAGAAGCAGAGCCCACAGGGGACAGGGGACCCTGTGGAGTACATGCTGGAGGGCTGCTGCGAAGAGGCGATGCTAGATTTGGGCTTTGAAAGATAAGCGTCATTTTCCAGGTGGTAGAAGCTGGTGCTTCTGGCAGAAGGATCTATGTAAACAAAGGTCTGGAGCTGCCCGCACGTGGCCTGCAATCGTGGAAGGAGCACAATGCAGTGCAGCAGGTCTGCAACGAGCACCTGCAGGGTCCGGGACTGTGCTGATAGTTGGTGACAGAGAGGGGAACAAGGCAGGCATTTTGGGGGCTGTGGGGAGCATGAGAGGGCAGGGGTCTGGGAACAAGCCCCTGGGGAGGAGGGTAATGAGCCCAGGTTCCCACAGTCTGTCAGGGGCAGGATGGGCTGGGCCAAGAAGGCCCTGGGTGTCAGGTCTGGGGTTGCCCCTCAGAGGGGTCAGCAAGGAGGTGGGACCAGTGTAGGGTGGAATTCTTTGGGTGATGTGTTGTTTGGTGCTGAGCTTCTCAGAATTGGGACATTTGCTTTTGTCACTGGACAAGGGGCCTGGCCCTGAGTGGGTCTGCCCTGGGCAGCTGTAGCATGTGGGTTCTTGACTCTGTGTGGGAAAGACTTCACAACATGAGTCTAGGTGACTATGAGGATCCATTTGTTAAAGCCAAGGACAGTGACACAAGAAAGGGCTCAGCATAGAAACAATCGGAGAGCCTGGGCTGGGGTGCTTTAGCTCAGTGGGAAGTCAGAGAAAAGGGGGATCTGGGGACAGGTTCAGCAGGGGGTTAGCTGCCAGCTGCCCATAGCCTTGAGTTTAGGAGACAAGTGCCTGTGAAGAGAGAAGTGGGGGAGGAAGAAGAGAACGTCCTGGGCTACTCCCCAGAGGGAGTGTACAGTCTGGGTCTTTAGTCTTGAAGCTTTCTCTGTGTTGCATGCTGGAATCTTAGGGAATCTTAGTCTCAGGGGAGGGTTTCAATAGACTATGCATCAGTTCAACAGGTATGGCCTTCAGGGTTATGGCTTCCACTGATCAGTCAGTGACAAGGCAGGAGGTCTTTATTCATTGCTGTTGGTTCTGGCGTCACCCACCTGGTTTTGCTGTTTTTCTGGGCCCGCAGATGAAAAGCAACTGAGGCCAAGGTGTCAACTCCAGGAAAGAAAGGCCAGAAGAGGAGAGGGTACCCCAGGGGTGAGGTCCTTCTTTACTCCATTTTGCCCTCTGGCAGGCACTGGGGCCTTCCACCCTGGTGACCATTGGCACCTGGCTATAAATTGCTTGGCCAGTTTGCTGACACATCTGTTTCAGTTTTTCTATTCCACTTGCCAAAGAAATTTTCTAGCTTCTTACTATCCTGTCTCACTTTCACTTTTGCTCCCCAGGACCTCTGGACTTGGAAGAGGTGTGTGGTCTGCACACTGACTCTGCTGGCGAGCGGATCTGCACAACTTAGAGCAACTGGATCCTGTTCCAGCTCCGCCAGAGGAGGGATCCTTGGTAAGCTGGGGAGGGTAGGAGCCCCCCGCCCACCTTCTGTCCCTATAACTCCCTGAGACAGGGACTATTGTCACTATTCTACAGATGGGGAAAGAAAAAGGAAAGGTGAGATCATATGGTATTTGTCTTTTACTGCCTGGCTCTTTTCACTTAAAATAATGCTTTCCAGCTCCATCCGTGCTGTTGCAAAGGTAGGAGCTCCTTCTTTCTTTCTGCTACATAGAATTCCACTGTGCAAATGTACCATAGTTTTTTGATCCATTCAAATACCATATGATCTCATCTTTAACTGGAACCTAAACAACAAAACAAAGGAACAAGCAAAATATAGTCAAAGATACTGAAATAGAGGGCACAATGACAGTGACCAGAGGGGAGAGGGGAGGGAATTTCAGGGGAGAATGGGAAGGGTTTACAGAAACAAATATAAAGGACACATGGACAAAAACTAGGGGGGGTGGAAATGGGAGGGAGGTGGGAAGAGATGGGTGGGTGGACTGGAATGGAAATAAAGGACAGAAAAATGTACTTGAACAATAATTTTTAAAAAAAAGGGGATAGGATAGGTAAGGATCAGGGAGGACAGGTAAATGGCCCAGGGCACACGTAAGCAGTGGTAGAGCTGGGATCTGAGCCCAGGTGTGTCCCACTGCTCCCTCCCTCCCCTGTGGCCCCAAACAGTGGAGCAGGAGGGGGAACAGATCAGATGGGATGTGGCCAGGGACCCCAGAAAGAAGGTGGATGTTGGGGTGACTTGGAGGAAGCAGAGAAGGTGGAGGAGGGCAGGTGAGTCAGATCCCCGTCCTGTTCCTGGGGTTCTGGCTGACCCCCACCCAATCCTAAGCTGCTGCTGAGTTGACGGGGACAAAGGATTTCTTCTGAGATTTCAGAATCTGAGAGGCTATTTCTCACACCCTGTAGGCTCAGTGCTGGGCTGTGTGGGGAACCTGCAGCCCTGAGTGTGAGGGGGGGTGCATGACTTGCCTGGGTGACATGGTAGGAGACTGAGCAGGAAGATGGCCAGGCTTAGCCTCCCTGATCCTGGCCTGCCCACTGCTACTTAAAATCTTTTCTAGTTTGCTTCTTAATTCGTTCAGAAATAACTAACTTTAGGTCAAATTATTTTTTCCTTTTTCTTCAACAAGTCTTTTTATACCTTATACCTTTTGTTACCAAACCATACAATTTGTTTCCAACTTAACCAGAATTCTTACTTCTTCGAAGCCTTGATTTTTAGTGACAGCTAGAAGTAATTGGCATTCTTTATTTTTTTAAATATAGAAAATATTTATTTATTTAAAACATACGAGAAATTGTACAAAAATATATTGTGCCCTTTCATGTACTATCTACCAAATCTAACACATTGGAAGCCTAAGTTTTCTCTTGCACTATTTGGAGGGGGGGTTGTAACCTGTTATTATTTTTTAATATATTTAACTAATTATGCTGTTACAGTTGTTCCTGTTTTTTTCCCCTTTGCCCCTCTCTGTCCAATGTGCCGTTTCCCTCCAGCAGTCCTCCCCCGCTTACTTCGTAACCATGGGCTGTGCCTGTGAGTTGTTTGGCTCCTCCTTTTCCTGTGTTATGTTTAACCTCCCCTGTCTATTTTGTTTCTACCAGTTATGCTTCTTGACCCCTTCACCCTCTCCCCCTTCACCCTCTTCCCCCTCCCAGCTGATAACCCTCTAAATGATTCCCATAGGTATAATTCTGTTCCTGTTGTAGTTGTTTGCTTAGTTTGTCCTTGTTTTTGTTTCTATTTTTTAGATTCAGTAGTTGATAGCTGTGAATTTGCTGTCATTTTAATGTGCATATTTTGATCTTTTTCTTAAATAAATTCCTTTAACACTTCATGTAACAATGGTTTGATTATGGTGACTTCCTTAGCTTTACTTTGTCTGGGAGGCACTTTGTCTTAATGAGAGCTTTGCTGGGTAGAGTAATCTAGGGTGTAGGTCCTTGCTTTTCATCATTTTGAATACTTCTTGCCTGAAGGTTTTTTTAGTTTTTGTTTTTGTTTTTTTTTTTTGTTTTGTTTTGTTTTGAAAACCAGCTGCCAGTCTCATGGGAACTCCTTTGTAGGTAATGCTCTCCTTTTCTCTGGCTGCTTTTAAGATTCTCTCTTTATCTTTAACCTTTGGCATGTTAAGTATGACATGCCTTGGTGTCATCCTCCTTGGGTCCAACTTGATTGGGACTCTGTGCTCCCTGAACTTGCACATTTACTTTCTTCACCAATTAGGGAAGTTTTCTTTCATTTTTTAAAGATATATTTTATTAATTATACTATTACAATTGTCCCATTTTCCCCTCTTCACTCACCTTCTCTCTGCACACCCCTTCCCACCTACATTCCCCACCTTTAGTTCATGTCCATGGGTCATACATATGAGTTCTTTGGCTTCTACATTTCCTACACTATTCTTACCCTCCCGCTGTCTATTTGCTACCTACCATTTATGCTACTTATTCTCTGTACCTTTTCCTCCTCTCTCCTCCTTCCCACTCCCTTGCTGATATCCCTCCATGTGATCTTCATTTCTGTGGTTCTGTTCCTGTTCTAGTTGTTTGCTTAGTTTGTTTTTGTTTTTGTTTTAGGCATGGTTGTGAATAACTGTTAGTTTGCTGTCATTTTACTGTTTATACTTTTTTAAAAAGATTGTATTTATTTATTTTTTAGAGAGGGAAGGGAGGGAGAAAGAGAGAGAGAGAGAAACATCAATGTGCAGTTGCTGGGGGCCATGGCCTGCAACCCAGGCATGTGCCCTTACTGGGAATTGAACCTGCGACACTTTGGTTCACAGCCCACGCTCAATCCACTGAGCTACGTCAGCCAGGGCTGTTCATACTTTTTTATCTTCTTTTTCTTAGATAAATCCCTGTAACAATTCATACAATAAGGGCTTAGTGATGATGAACTCCTTTAACTTGACCTTCTCTGGGAAGCACTTTATCTGCCCTTCCATTCTAAATAAAAGCTTTGCTGGATAGAGCAATCTTGGATGTAGGTCCTTGCCTTTCATGACTTGGAATACTTCTTTCCATCCCCTTCTTGCCCGTAAGGTCTCTTTTGAGAAATCAGCTGACAGTCTTATGGGAACACCTTTGTAGGTAACTGTCTCCTTTTCTCTTGCTGCTTCTAAGATTCTGTCCTTATTTTTAACCTTGGGTAACATAATTATGATGTGCCTTGGTGTGTTCCTCCTTGGGTCCAACTTCTTTGGGACTCTCTGAGCTTCCTGGACTTCCTGGAATCTATTTCCTTGGCCATATTGGGGAAGTTCTCCTTCATTATTTGTTCAAATAAGTTTTCAATTTGTTGCTCTTCGTGTTCTCCTTCTGGTACCCTTATAATTTGGATGTTGGAACACTTAAAGATGTCCTGGAGGTTCCTAAGCCTCTCTTCATTTTTTTTGAATTCTTGTTTCTTCCTTCTTTTCTGGTTGGATATTTCTTTCTTCCTTCTGGTCCACACTGTTGATATGAGTCCCAGTTTCCTTCCCATCACTATTGGTTTCCTGTATATTTTTCTTTATTTTCCTTTGTGTAGCTTTCATTTTTTCATCTAATTTGTGGCCAAACTCAACCAATCCTGTGAGCATCCTGATTACCAGTGTTTTGAACTGTGCATCTGATAGGTTGGCTATCTCTTCATCGCTTAGTTGTATTTGTTCTGGGGTTTTGATCTGTTCTTTCATTTGGGTCTTTTTTGTTTGTTTGTTTCGCTGTGCCTGTTATGTAATAAGGGGCAGAGTCTTAGGCATTCACCAGGACAGAGCAACCCATGTCATTGCGTTGTAATGTCGTATGTGGGGCAGTGGTCTGAGAGGGAACAATGGCATTTTCTCCACTCTCTGTCAGATTTCAGTCATTTCCCCTGCTACCCACAAGCAAAGTGGGCCCTGGTGCTGGTTCTCGGGTGGGTGGGTTTGTGTACATTCTAGGACCCCGTGGGTCTCTCCAACAAACTCTCCTGTGAGGCTGGGAGTTTCTCCTGCTGGCCCCTCAACCCCCCCAGGTGTTTTCAGTCAGAGGTGTGAGGCTTTATTTCCCCGTGCTGGAGCCCTGGGTTGCTCGGTCTTTCTTGCTTCTCAGTTGTTCCTCCCAGTTTATCCCCATGCAAATGTGAGACCACCCACTCCACCAGCCACCACCTCACTGGGTCTGCCAGCTGCCACCTTGCCATGAGTCCTCTCTGCCTGGCTGCCCATCCCCGCTCCTGCTGCCACTCTGGATATGTCTTCTTTAACTTCTTGGTTGTCAGACTCCCATAAAGTTCAATTTTCTGTCAGTTCTGGTTGTTTTGTTGTTTTTAAATTGTTGTCCTTCTTTTTGTTGTGCGAGGAGGCATGGAATGTCTACCTACACTTCCATCTTGGCCAGAAGTCTCTTTCATTTTTTCAAATAGATTTCCAATTTCTTGCTTTCTCTTCTCCTTTTGGTATCCCTATGATGCGAATGTTGGACCTCTTGAAGTTGTTCCAGAGGCTATGTATACTACCCTCATTTTTTTTTCAATTCTTTTTCCTTCTTGTTGTTCTGATTGGTTGTATTTTGCTTCCTTGTGTTCCAAATCATTGATTTGATTTTTGGCTTCATCCACTCTACTGTTGCTTTTCTGTAAATTGTTCTTCATTTCAAGTAGTGAATTCTTTGGTTCTGACTGTATCTTTTGTATCCTGCTGAGGTCCTCACTAAGTTCCTTGAGCATCCTTATTAACCAGTGTTTTGAACTCTGTATCTGATAGATTGCTTATCTCCATTCCATTTAGCTCTTTTTTCCGGAGTTTTGATCTGTTCTTTCATTTGGGCCCTGTTTCTTTGTCTCCTCATTTTGGCAGCCCCCTATGTTTGTTTCTATGTATTAGGTAGAGCTGCTTTGACTCCATGTCTTAGTAGTGTGGCCTAATGTAGGGGGCATCCTGTACAGTCCAGTGGCACAGCCCACTGAGTATCACCCAAACTATCACCCAAGCTGGGTCTTCCAGGTACATCCTTCATG